GGCCAGAAGCGGCCACTGCACTCCAGTCTGGGCGACCAAGTGAGAATCCTACTCAAAAAAAAAAAAAAGAAAAAGAAAAAGAAAAAAATTATGCATTCAGCTCATATATATATTTTTTTGAGTTGGAGTCTCACTCTGTCTCCCAGACTGGAGTGCAGTGACCGCTCACGGCCACCGCAGCCTCGACCTGCTGGGCTCCGGCAATCCTTCCGCCTCAGCCTTCCAAGTAGCCAGAACTACAGGCGCATGCTACCATGCCCGGCTAATTTTTTTATTTATTGTAGAGACGAGGGCTCGCCAAGTTGCCCGGGCGGGTCTCGAACCCGCGGGCTCAGGCATCCACTCACTTCAGCCTCCCAAAGCACAGGATTACAGGCTGAGCCACCGAGCCCGGCCCATAATTTTTTTCTATTTTTCTTCCCACAAATGATTTCAAATGTCCACTCCAGGCTCTGCCCTTATCCTGGCCAGATGTCTCATCTTAGTTTTAACTTCTCGCTCTGTTTTTGCAGTTGGAACTTGGGCAGGACTCCCAGGAAAGTGCCTCAAGGGATTCTGGGCTGTAGTCAAAATGTTAATAATTTATGCACAGGGCCTTTGTACTCACCCCATCTCTCTTCCTGATCCCTCTCCCAAATCAATTATGAGGGCAGGGACTCTGTGAGCTTAAAGGCTTAAGCCTGAACAAAGATTAACTTTTATTAAATCACAATAAATTAGAGGAAGCACCATTTAATTACTTTATTTTTCTGGTGTATTTCATCCAGAGTTAAAAAAAAAACCACTGTAACTTTTAGAAAGTAAGTTGGGCTGGGCGCAGTTGCTCATGCCTGTTTGGGAGGCAGAGATGAGAAGATTGCCTGAACTCAGGGGTTCAGGACCAGCCTGAGCAACAGGCTTTGTTTGTTTTGCTCATCTCTACAATAAATCGAAAAATTAGCAGCACGTGGTTGTTGTGGTTGCAGCTACTTGGAAAGCTGAGGCAGAACAAGCACCTGCCCAGCAGGTTGAAGCTGTGCTGGCCGAGTGTTCCACTGCACTCCAGCCTGGATGACAGAGTGAGACTGACTCAAAAAAAAAAAAGTAGTTTGGTTGCACAAATCAAGAAACAAATGTTTGTATCCTTTGATCTAGCAATTCTACTTCAGAAAACTACACTGAGCCGGGTGCAGTGGCTCAACCCTGTAATCCCAGCACTTTGGGAGGCTGAGGCAAGAGGATTGCCTGAGTATAGGGCTTCAAGACCAGTCTGGGCAACTTGGTGAGAACTCATCTCTACAATAAATCAAAAAATTATCTGGGCACGGTGGCATGCACCTGTAGTTCCAGCAACTTGGAAGGCTGAGGCAGAAGGATCACCTGAGCCCAGCAGGTCGTGGCTATGGTGGCCATGAACGTGCCACTGCACTCTAGCCCGGGTGACAAAAGTATTAAGAATCCCACAATCCCACATCCAGAATAACAACTCTTAACATTTTGGTAAATGATCTTTTAAACTTTTAAGTATATATAAAAATGTAAGCTGGGTGCAGTGACTTATGCCTGTAATCCCAGCAATTTGGGAGGCGGAGGCAAGAGGATTGCCTGAGCCCATGGGTTCGAGACCAACCTGGTGAGACCTCATCTCTACAATAAATCAAAAAATTAGCCATACCTATAATTCCAGCTACTTGGAAGGCTGAGATGGAAGGATTACCTGAGCCCAGAAGGTCGAGGTTGCAGTGGTCATGAGTATACCACTGCACTCCAGCCTGGGTGGCAGAGTGAGACTCCAACTAAAAAAAAAAAAATGTAGCCGGGCTCGGTGGCTCAGCCTGTAATCCCGCGCCTTTGGGTGGCTGAGGTGAGTGGATTGCCTGAGCCCGTGGGTTCGAGACCCGCCTGGGCAGCGAGACCTCATCTCTACAATAAATCAAAAAATCAGTCAGGTGTGGTAGCACATGCCTGTAATTCCGGCTACTTGGAAAGCTGAGGCGGAAGAATCGCCGGAGCCCAGCAGGTTGAGGCTGCGGTGGCCAAGAGCGGCCACTGCACTCCAGTCTGGGCGACAGAGGAGACTCCAACTCAAAAAAAAAAAATGTATATAGGATGGGTGCAGTGGCTCACTCCTGTAATCTCAGCACTCTGGGAGGCTGAGGCAGGAGGACTGCTTGAGCTCAGGAGTTCAAGAACAGCCTAGGCAACATAGTGAGATCTCATTTCTACAGAAAATTAAAAAATTAGTCAGGCATGGTAGCACATGTTTGTAGTCCCAGCTACTCAGGAGGCTGAGGTGGAAGAATTGCCTGAGTCCAGGCGGTTGATGCTGCAGTGAGCTGTGATTGTGCCGCTACACAATAGCCTGGGCAACAGAGTGAGACCCCAACTAAACAACAACAAAAAAACAGAAAGATAAAGAAAGAAAAGGAAAAGTTCTAGCCAAGTGCAGTGGCTCACACCTATAATCCCAGCACTTTGGGAGGCAAAGGTGAGAGGATCATTTGAGCCCAAGAGTTCAAGACTAGCCTGGGCAACATAACAAGATCTCATCTCTACAAAAAAATAAACACCAGCTGGGCATGGTGGTGTGCACCTGTAGTCCTAGCTACTCGGAAGGCTGAGGAGGAAGGATCACCTGAGTCCAGGAGGTTGAGGCTATGGTGAGCTCTGATTGTGCCTCTGCACTCCAGCCTGGACACAGAGTGAACCCCCAACTTGAAAGAGAGAAAGAAGTTCTGCAAAAAAAAAAGAAGAGAAAAAGAAAAAGAAAGAAGGAAGGAGAGAGAGAGAAAGACAGGAAAGAAAGAAAGAAAGAAAGAAAGAAAGAAAGAAAGAAAGAAAGAAAGA